ACAGCCCATATTTGTTGGGATGTCACGATGACCAATTCTGGTGGGGACTTTCAGCACAGGGTCACTGCAAGTCATGGCATCTTGACAGAGGAAACTAGAAAGGAGAGCTCATTTCTGCTTGGGTGGAATTACCCTCCCTACCCACAGCCTTGACAAAGGTACTGGCAGAGTGTGTAGTACATCGACAAAAGCTGTAGCCCTCTGTTTTCCACAGAACCTTAATGAAAGAAGGATTTACAGGCTTAATCTCTGCTCCTACCTCAAATACAGCTGTAACCCAACCTGGTCACAGGTAGCTGTCAGAAGCATAGATAGGTAGGCAGTGGAGCCAAGAAAAAAAAACAGAAGTCTGAAAAAGTCCTATTTTTTCTCTCCCTAGTTATTGGTAAGAGTTCTTCCCAACAGCAGAGCTGCTGCCTACCTTTGAAATTCCCCTCTGCTTTGCCACATTGGCTCTTCCACACTCCCTGTGATAATACTGAAGATAATAGGCAGCACATCCCTGTCCACATGTCCAGTTCTCTCTTCTTGCTGCTTCACTTCCAGGCTGCTCTGTGGGCTAGTTCCCAAACCATTCCTCAGGTAGATCACCAGGGTCTCTCGCAGCCCCATGCATGCCCATCCTGGGCTTCCCACTCTGCTTTACCCTCCTCCCTCTACCTCCAGCTCATGCTGCCTTTGCTCAGAAACGTGTTTCGGGGCTGGAAACCTTTCCATGGGGAAGGGGAGTGGTGGGGTTTCGGCTGGGATATGCTGCAGCCCAAATATTTACACTTTGGGTCCTGCCTCAGTTTTTGGTTAGTTCTGCATAGATGTAAGTCACCTTATTGACTTGTGTATACAGGATAACAAAGCTTTTGTTTTCCTTTATAGACTGCTTTTGTTTGACTACAAAATATTAAGAGGAAAACAAGCCACAAAATGCTCTTGCTGTGCAGAGTGGGGTGGCTGTCCTGTGCCCACCATTCAGCATGGGTGCTTTCCTGCACAAGTTGCGCTGCAGGCAGGGGGATGGCTAAAAGTGGTGCTCAGGGAACAAAGGACAAATGACTGTTCAGAAAAAGGCTGGTGCAGAAGCGCTGAAAAGCAGACAGTGCCATCAGGAGGCATGTGACAGTGTTGGCTGGGCTCACTGGCAAATGCTGCTGTGCTTGCACAGTCCTCCTGCTCAGAACATATCATGATAGATGGGGACTTTGTTTCTTATCAGAGATGCAGACATTAGGATTTCCTAGGTGTAGAAACAGGACATTCAAGCACTGATTATCTGTATGTATCGTACAGATGCATGTGTAAACATACATACCAAGCAAAAAACATATGTTTCTAAATGTGGTACACAAATGATAAACAGAGATTTGCCGGGAAGTGAAAGACAGAGTAGCCACACTGTAGTCTCATAGCTGGAGAACCACTTCGCTTTTTCAACAGCTGGACTTGGTGTCAGTATAGAGAACAAAATGGATGTTACAGATTAGTAAAACACAGAGACAAGTTTTATTTTGAACCAAAAGTTAAAATTTTATTTTGGAATATTAACATACCCCAAAAAAATAAAAATAAAAACTTCCTTTTATGTAGTGAAATAGCCATTTGAAAATGGTAAAATAAAGATATTTCTCATACTATTCTCTCCTAGTTATTGTACACATATTTAAGGTTGCTTTTAATTCTGAATATAAATCTAGCTTGAGCTTTAAGGCTCCCAAAAGCCTCAAGCACGTAGTGGCTCTTTTGAGAAAGCAGGTAAGTCAATAAGAGCTGTTTTTTTTCCAGCAGACAGGCCTGCTTGAAGCTTTCCAGGACTGGACACAAGTGAGACTTCTCAGAAAGGTCACTCTTTCAAGGGAGTATTATTTTATACCCATTGGGGAATATGCTCTAACCCCACTTCATGCAGCATTTCATTGAGCTTTATGATGTGCTGGGAAGGGCCCTGGTTCCCCTCAGCTCTCGAGTTCTTGTGCAGATCTTATTTGTGTTGGTACACTTGGTTTAATTTCAGAAATCAAATCCTACCCTGTAGTATTTGCTCTGCTAGAAATTAAGTCTGTAACAAGGCACTGATCCTGCCTTTATGCCTGTAAGCAAAAGGTTTCTGTGCCCGCTCGTAGTTGCCCTGACTGCAACAGGACCTTTACGATAGCAGGATGAGGACTTGTCCTTTAGCTTGCTTCTCATAAAATACATGGAATGGAAAATATACTGAAATAAAACAGTAGAAACCAACCGACAATTCTGAGTTGTAAATCTTCCCTTTCAGAGGGCTCACCGATGCTAGGCTAGAAAGTATGATTAAAGACCCCAGTCAGGGCCTGAGTGATGCCCCAAGTGGTTCATGTCACCACTAAATAAACAAGGGGATTTAGGTCTCGCATCACCCTCTGCAACTAGGCTGCAGCAGGCTGAAGCAAAGCTTGCTGAAGTCACTAGGCATCTCACCAACAATCTCGCTTTGAGCAGGCATTGGACCAAGTCCTGAACTTATGAATGGAATGGTCTGCAATTTGTTTTGATTTCTTCTTTGATCAAGGCCATTTTTATCATTTAAAGTATGTATTTATGATTTGTATATAAACAAATTATACTCCTGTTACTGGTTCTGAAATACAGGATAGACTACAACTACTAGAGATATTACTGCACTAATATATTGTATCTGGCACTGCTTACAAAGGCTGCTGTTTCACTTCTGCAGGAGGGAAACCTTCATGCAAGCCGTACTCCACCAGCCAGCCTGTCCTGGGCACCTGCAACTGTGGAGCCCACCTTCCTCCCGCCTTGCCTTTCCTCATCTTGTGAAGGAGTGAGCGCTCAGCCTGGAAATACCTTCACCTAGGATTTGGAATGGGGCTTCTCCCTCCTTGCCTCTCCTGCAGCTTGTGCTCAATACTTTATTCCTACTACCCAGCCTGGCTTTTTCAAATGATTCCTCTTGCACACTTTGGCCCTTATCTTGTAAGTAAAAGCTTGTATTAGTTTACTGTGAGATTCCCATGAGAGGTCTCTTTCAGAGCCAGCTGCTCTTAGTTTAGTGTTATCAGTGAGTCCAGACATACATCATTTCTGACTCCAAGTTACAGAAGTTCTGTAAGCATAAGAGGTTTCCTTCTTGTCACAGGCACAATTTAAAGAGGCTCAGAATTATCCAAGTTTTTGTTCTTTCACTTAAATAGCTGAATATAGTTTCCTTGGAGTGTCCGCTACACAGCAGTAATGTTTAGGAAGAGCCAAATTCTGTTCACAGCTGCCTAAGCGTAAATCCATACCAACCATTCTGGTTTTATTTCAGTACGCTGGATTAATGCATCAAAATATAAAAAACACTTTGACCCCGGCAGACTGACCTTATCACTAGTGTAACTCTCCTGACTTCAGTAGTGAATCCCATAACAGCATTTCCAGCATCTGTAATGGCTGTCACAAGTCCCATAATGCTTGGTAATTTACATAAAGTTTGAATTCCCCCATGTGTGTGAATGCAACAGAATTACAGTTTTATTTAAAATAATATAGGAAAAAAGGGGTTCTGGTAGTGGACAGAAAAAATTTGAAAGTGTGACCCCCAAGCAGGGGAAATAAATAGGACCCAATTAGCTCGTAGGTTGGAACAGCTGGGTTATTGTTGAGGTGTCATTACATTAGGGTTGACTGTCCCAGTATTTAAGTATGTGTGAGTGGGTTAAATGCAATGTCTAAATATCATGTGTGCACATTTCAGGAAGAAGAAAGAAGTGAGAAAAGCAGTGTAAGTTGATTTTTGTCTTATCTTCAAGTTCTTTAACGCCAGGTACCACTCCAGTGTAAAAGCTCAGAGTGCTATACTGGGGCTATAGGACCTGTGTAAATGCACGTGTGACACATCATCTGCTGAAGCAAATGGCAGTGTGACAGCCAATTTCCAGTGTGACAATAAATGCACCTTAATTTACCACTGTCCCTTGCGTGCTTGACCTTGCTTCCCTTCCCTATACATATGCCTGCCTGCAGCCTAGTCACCTGCCAGGACATCCACTGAATTCAGTGCCTGCATGCCAGGGGTACACCTGCAATGCGTCTTGAGGAGGTCACTCCAGCTGGATTCTGTGCAGGAGCTGCAAAAAGGACGGTGGCCATTGCCTGCCTGGCCCTGGCTGGTGGGGTGCTTGGCATGTGATGGAGCGGGCACTGGGAACCTCACAATGGTGTCTGCAAGGGCTTTGGAAGGATGGGGTAAGAGTGGTGAAATCCCTGCTCTGCTGAAGTCAGTATCGGCATTGCCAGAATTGCCATCCAGCATGCACAGGTGGGTTTTTTCCCTTATGTAACTCAGGAAAAGAATGTATTAAATGTGGCAGGTTGTTTGCAACCCACCCTGTTTTCTGCCTGTGTTAAACTTGGGAGCAAGTGGTGTTGCCTTGCTGTGGTGTTACTTCATATTGATAAAGTTTAGGGGGCTTCAAATCATTAGCCATAAGCTTCAAATTAGACTGAGATGTGTTTGGTTCCTTCCTTCCTGCTTAGGTAAAGGCAGTCAGACACAGCGGCTCTGCTCACAGCAGAGCAAAATCTCCACTGACTTCACGGGGTCCAAAATTTCTGCTCCAGCTTCAGCTCCAGACGCCAGGACACTTCCAACCCCTCTTGCTTTGTTTAAGAGACCTAAGACACACAGGACTGAGGGTCTAAATGGCACAATGGTGAGCTTCTACTAACACTTCTCATCTAATTGCAGTCGACTTTAATTTTGCCTTTTCCACTCTCAACTGGTCTTAAGCTGCTTCTTAGCCAGGGCAAAATTAAGCATGAGGAAAAAGGCTTATTCAGCATTATAATTATCTACTCCCAAGCTGTATAACAAAATGGTTTGCACATTTAAGGTTTTGTCTAATATTTCCACGTATACAGTAGTCCTATTAATGAGTATCATAGCTTCATTACTGCATATCACATTTTGCTATTTGTTGTGTACCATAAAATAACGTCAGCACATCAATAACTTAAATAACACAAATGTAAACTCATCTTCTGCTTGTTACAGTTATGATTTTAGCCTGCAAAGGCTTTTTGATTTGTTAGACCATTCACATAACATGGAATGTAGCTTTATTTGTTTTTCTTTTGTATAGAATGAGACACCAAAAGCCCTTGTCATTTCATAACAGGATAATAAGCAGCTCTGTTTCATGAATGACAGCACAATTAAAGCTAAAAATCATAATAAAAAAAAAAATCTTTGTACTGTACAATCTCAAATTAAAGCAAGAAAGATAATGACAATCTTTTGCATTAGCCAGGAAATGTGATTCTCTGCCACTGGGCTTTTTTTTCTTGTTGAAAATTCACAGAATGTGTATATGGGTGTAGTTATAGGTGTGTGTATATTCTATGCAGAACAGCAGTCCCTATTTTGTTGATCTAGTTCTTCTAATTGTTTAGTTAAACTACCTAACTGATACAATTTAGAATACTACATTAACACATTTAACATCAAGTTTACATACTTGTGTCTTTGAAATACTAGGAACTTTTACACATTTTATTTGGCTTTTTAAGGACTGGAATCTCACAGATAATGCAATCTACTTGTCTTTGACAGAAAATATGGCTGTTCTCAACTAACTCTCTAAGGTTCAGAGTGAAATACATTTCTCTTTACATCTGTAGCCGACTTCAGAGAAGAAAGAGCATCTTCTAAAGTGGTCAGTCTGATGTTATAGTACAGATTCTACAGAGAGATGTACTTAACAAAGGGTAATTCTCTCTGGACTTTAGAGTTAAGCTGTTGCAGCAAAATTACTCTGTTTAGACTATTTTTTTCTCTACACAAATCTCAAGAAAACCCTATTCCAAGTATGTTTTGTAGTAGTATCTCCACATGACCAGAGGAGGGCACTTTGAACATCTTTGCACTGCCCAGGAGGCAGATGCAGAAGCACAGTGTTTCCCAATGTCGCACAGTCCTGACGCCTCTTCCCACCCAGGCAGGTATCCTTGTGTCCACAAAAATACAGAATCCGTATTGTACCACGGGGCATTGTTCTGAAAACAGTGGGCAGATACATCACTCTCTTCCCGCTAACTAGGATTTCTTCTGATTTCCCTCATTTAATTCAGTGTTGCTGTGGGTTAAATGGAAATTAACAGGTAATTTCTAAAAATCACGAGGACAGTTGCCTCCCTCTCCTTCCTGAACATCCCTCTGCCATTAGCCCCTGGTAATTTAGCAAATATTGGTTGATTTAACCCTCTATGACTTATCCTGCTGTAAAAACTCCTTGCTTTTAAGTGAAAAATGCACTTGGAAAATGCACTCTCTGAGATACGTATTGCAACAGTGCATCTTTTCACATTAAACTCTTGTACTGCTCCTTTCTGCCTTCTGAGGGAGGCAACTCTGCATGCCAGATCTGCTCCCCTGGCAGAGTACATAGTGGAGAAATCAATCTCTTCTCTTTTCCATACATGACCACAGTGTGGATTTCAGCCACCTTCCATGCAGAAAACAACCTTTTGGGTTTCATTTTGGCTAAAGGTATCAACCCTATATGGAAAATATTTTAATTCTGCAATTGCGCTGTTATCACAGGCAGATTTGTTTTTCTTTTTGTAACCTCTCTGCTTTGCTTTGTTCAAGTTTAATGCTGAAAAAATATTAGAAAGGATTTAGAAACTTTCTTTTAAGTAAGTCTTTCCTCCACCCTGGGGAAACACAATGCTTATTTAATGTAACCTTTTTCCCCTCATTTCTTTTCTCTTCTTTCTTTTCTTCCCTTTTTTCTTTTCTTTTCTTTTTTTTTTTTTTTTTTATTCTTCTTTCTTTTCTCCTTTCTTTTCTAGAGCAGGCAGGTACAAGAAGGAAGTTGTCTTTCACCAGCAGTCCTTTGAGATAGAGTAGAATTCAGTGAGTTCTCACCATGATAGGATCATAAACTTACTGGGTTAAACCAAGCTAACTTTCCCTAAGCTGCCAAGATTTAGCTGCACCATACATATATGTGTTTCCTTGTGCCATTTTCTTTTCTTATAATTTTGTTTTTCTTGATGACCCTGAGCTATGGCTTCTCGTTTCTACCACTAGTCAACCTTCCTTTCTTTTCTGGTTTTGCCAATATAGGCCTCAAAGAAAAAATGGCAGAAGAGCACAAAGTAGCTGAGGTACATGAGAGAGGACAAGATGATGTTCTGCACGTGGGAATGGCACTGGCCATGCTGCATCCAGAAGAAGACCAGGTAATTGATCACGCAACCGATCAACATCTGAGTGATCTGCGACAAGGTGATGAACATGGCAAACTTGCGTGAAACTCTGAAGCCAGCAGCCCGCAAGGCATAGTAAGAGTACATAACAGCGTGTACTCCATAGTTCATGGTCATGAACCAGCCACCGCCAGCCACCATGTCCTTGTAGGAATACCAAGAATAAAGTAACACAGTAATGTGATGGTACCAGTGTAAGAAGATGAGCTTCTGTTTCCTAAGAATAATGAATATTGTGTCACCTGTAACAAAACACAAAAAAAAAAAAGGAAAAAAAAAAAGGAAGGAAATGAGAAACATATTGAACAATCCTGTAATTACCGCAGGGCTCTCTTCCTTTTGCTGATGTTGGAGTACACACTATTTTGGAGCCACCACCTCACCTCCAGATCTGAGATTAGATCTGTCTGACCTCAGATCTGTCTTATCTGAGCGCTAGCTTGGCTCCTAATCTCTATGCAATCTTCGGAAAACCAAAATATACACATTTTCCTGTGTGGATAACCCATTTGAAAACTCTATAGGTTTACTTGGTAGCACTTTACTTGTAGCTTCATCGTCTGTTGAAGTCTGAGGTGAGGCAGGTGGATGTACTTGTATCGATTCTGACTGGGAGATTGTCCATCAGATAGTGTGACTAGAAGAGAAATGTAGCTCAACAGGAAGCAGCACAGCACCTGAAGTCCTCAGATTCAAACGCCTACCTGCAAACTGAACCTAGTTAAATGCAGTAGATCTTTTTGATCTACTATGCAAAAAGCTATTGCATATGCAATCTACAGTACCAAAAGGTATGTAATTACCAGAAAAAATGCTTCTAGAAAGAAATTTGGTCTACGTTGAAATGCACATCCTTTTCTGCAAAATCATGCTGCTGTTGTAGAAAAGTAAACTTTATTCTTCATTCCTGCTTTTTCCTTCCTTCTGGTTCTCATTATTGCACTGAGCATCTCAATTAGATATGCATGTATATATATATATATATATATATATATATATATATATATATGCTACTTGTTTTCTAGTGTTGTAGACACAGTGTTTCCAAAAAGTTCCCTGAGATCTGAATCTGGAAACTTATTTCTACGTATATCCGTCCAGGAAATCCATGTAATGAATTCTAGTGATGGGTGGAACCAAAACTGCACTGTCTGCACAAGGTCAGTAATAAGCTGTAATGCTACTGTTTACTTCATTAGCTGCAAGATGTTGACTCATGTTTTAATAAATAATCATATGTTCAATTTACTGGTGTTGTGCAGTTCTAGCTGATGTTTTCCAGTTTTAACAAGTAGATTTCTGTGGTTTTGCAGTAATTTAAACAGCATGAAACCAAGAGATTCTGACACAGCAAGGCAAATAGCGTCTTGTCTCTCTCCAGATTTTATGCTCATTTATTGCTGCCCTTGTAATTTGCTGAATCAAATTCTCTGCTGAAAGGTAAAGACTTATTTTTGCTGTACACCTGAACACAGTGAGTGCTACAGCCCTTTGAGGTTTCATAAGGGCATCCTCCAAAGTGAAAGCTGGGGGACCAGCTAAATTGATGGCTCCTCCTTCCCAAAACAATCCTTTCTGATGCTAATAAGCCATGAGATGAGAACATATGCAGACTTCCTATTAAGTTGGCTTTGGCATATGTATCCTAAGTATTCTTAAAAAAAGAAAAAAGCTGGAGAGACAGGAGTTTATAAGAATCAGGACTGGAAAAGCTAGGGATATTAAAGGAAATTGGTTTCTATTTGGAGGAAGCAGACAGCCACAGCTTTCAGTGTTTAGGGAGGAAGCACATTACTGTTCATAATTGTACGCCTCCATGTGTGTTTAAGGATGAATGCTGCATAACGGAGGCAGAACCTAACTCAAAGCTTCTTCCTGACACAGGTGCTGTTGCCCACCCTTCACTTCTGGGGTTAGTGACTGCCAATTATGCTACTTGGATCTGCCTGCAAGTAGCTGAGGAAAAAGTACAGACCAAATTGCTCCTACCTCTTGACTGCCCTGTTACGTATAATCACTGTAATTTATTCCTTGGCTGGGAATAGGCTTTTTCAACCGCACATTGCTCTAACTTCAGTCAAGCTTAATCTCTAGAGACTAAAACATGCAGAGTTTGGGGCTGGTTTTGTTGGCTCAATTTTGCTAAGACTAAGACAAGATTTTGACAACACTGAGACCCTTCCTGTGCTTCCTGCACAGCCATTTCTGCTTTAAATAAGAATAGTGAGAGAAAGGGAGAGAGGGTACTTACCCAGTTCGGGTGCTTTGCTTAGCACAAACGCATATGCCCAGAATTTGCTGACAGGTCCAATGTAAAAACTCTGATCACACACTGACTGCTTCAGGCCTTTGGTCATCAAAATGTACAGCATATAAGCACCAGTTCGAACAGCACCGAATATACTTCAAAATGAAAAGAGAAAATGAAGAAAATTGAGTGGACATTTGAAATCTACACACCATCACTTCAAATCATTATGAGAAAAAGGCTGAAATGTGCTGAAATAGTAAGTTTGAGAGAGCCTGATGCTGGAGCAACTCTGTTAGCTTCTAGGGAGTTATTCAGAGCTCAGATTTGTAAACTGGACTGCAGCTGTATCCCCTGGTGAAAGTCTGGAACGGTAATGTCAGTGTTTTTCATTTCATTACTACAGGAATGATCCTTCACTTTTCAGAGCAGTGGGAGACATCAACTTCAGCTGAAAACAGCATGCAGAGTTTTAATGCTGACAGCTGGGAGACTACAAGAAATGAGTTGATAAAGAGCTGTTATCAAGATAATCAGGACCAATTCCCTCTTCTGATTTCCTCAGCATTTTCTCTTGTCTTGCCTTGTGTTCTTTACACGCACAGGAGCTCTGAGCACAGACAAACCCAGGTAGGGTGCATAGATTTTGATGGTGGGTGTCAGTCAGGGCTGGTGTTTGGTGCATGTGCTACCTTCATCTCTTAACAGGTCACTGCTAACAGAGGAATTGACTAGCTGAATCGAGTTGTAAACAGCAGATTCACACACATCTCACCAAAGTGAGGTGTAAGATAACAGTGTTCTGTAAATGAGAAACATCAAGAGATTTGCAATGGTATTAATTAGTGCAATCAAAGAGGAGATAGGTTCAGATAACAAAAGATATCCAGCTGATGTAAGGAACAAAGGCTTCTGTCTCAGCAGCAAGGAGCTCTGCAGAGGGAATGCCTCACTGTTTTACAGCAAGGTCATGCTTGCCTGTTGTCTACCATTGTCACTTGTTGGCCCTTCAGAATTTGATGAATACTGGGTGAAACAAGCAGCTTTCAGAAAAATGGAGCAAAGAAAGACCCAATCTCATTTGGGGTTGAGTATGTCTTATTTTATGCCTACATCATACATCCCTTTGCCGCTACCCTGCTTGATCTTATCTCCCCTTTAACTTCTTTGTGGCCTTTTCCTACTCATGAATCCTCTGTTTCCTGCTCTGCCTTGGTGTCTTTTGTGACTATTACACAGCAGCAAGCAAATCAAGCCACCTAAAACTTATGTGTAGACACATATGGGCAATGCAAGCTACCACTTATGCAAAGTGTGTGAAATAAGGAACAGTTCATCGAAGTTACAGATTATCTGTTACTTGTCTTGTGAAGTCAGCATTCTTTTAAAAATGTGGTTTAGAATTATCAAGGCAGACTCAAAAAGTAAGTCTGTGGCAGTTCTTATGGCACTTGATCAGAGTTGATCGTGGTTTAAGTAAGCCTGCCAAGCATAAAAGCTGTTGATTTAAATTTATATATTTTTTTGCACAAAGTAATTAGCTTTCCAAATCTGTGGCACTGATATACCCAGTCAAACCTGCCTGCTCCTAAGGAGCTATTACTTTGCTCTCTGCTGTCCACAGCACTCCTCAACCAAGTGGAGTACTGCATGGTGCTCTTAAGACTCTGTCAGACAGAGCTCAGATGGAGAGGTGTTACCATCCTGACTCCCACACCATTACATTTCAATGTCTGAGATTTCACTGTGCCATCAGGAAATTCAGACTACAGTGAGCACTTAAGAAGATACCAGTATTATCTGCTACTTGTATCGTGATAGCTGTTTATGGTCTCTACTGCCAGATGAGTCCTCCTGTGCTATATTCAAATAAAAAAACATTCTGCTGTGGTATCAGAGTACTGAAGGAATTTAGCCAAGTCCAGCTTTCCCATTAGCACAGCCCAAAGCAATGCACATGCTCCCAGGCTTAGGCAAGACAGCTGTTGCAGTGTCTCAAGTTCATCCATGCATGCAAGAAAGTGCAGTATTCTCATCAAGTATGCAACCTGTAGTACATGCTCTCTGTGTAGGGTTGTTCACCCCCAGAGATGCTTTCTCAACATGCTTTTCTCATGTCTTTTGGAGATTGGTCCTTTTAACTCGGCAGAGAGTGCTGAAGCCAGCAGGAGGAGTTTTGAAATGAGGTGCAACTCGTTCTGTGTCTTCTCTCTAGTGTTTAACACATGCATTTGGTTTCTTTTTCTCAGGAGTTACATTTCTCATTCCCAAGAAGAGAGGAGATCCTGACAGAGATGTGATCTGATCACTTCCTGAGGCAGGGAACTCCTCAAGCTAGTCAGGACAGGCTGCTGCTTGCTCCAGAGTTTTGGGTGGTGGCAAAAACTGGGTGTAGGAAGATCACTCAGAATATCTAATGATACACTGGTTCCCCAATTAGCAAATAACTTCGACATTAAAGTGGGGGAAAAAAGGAAATTCTAAATTATGAAATCAAACAACTGCAAGAAATATAGCTTTCTCTGTACAGAAACTGTACTGCTTTTCTAAAATATCACTCGTTATTAAAGTTTTAAAACCAAAGAGAATTTTGTGCCATGAACACAGATGAGAAGACTGCTTGTTTGAAAAACAGGCAAATGTTGACCTCACCATAAGTGACTGAGTATGGAAACTCAGGGATTTAATCCAGACTGATAACAGAGCAAAAGAGTATTTGCCCTGTGGGGATTACAGGGTTTCACTTTGCTGTCCTTGAGATTATACCAATGTTATTAATTCTTCCTGTCTTTCTGTTTAGCAGCTACTGCAGAGCTCTCCTTGGAGTGCACTCACACTCCCACACTTACTTTCTGTAATTACATAGGACGGTGGCTTCCTCTAGTTCCGTGACTCCAGAAGAAGTGACTCCAGCTATTGCTCTACATGGTGTGAGTCAGAGTAATCCAAATTTTTAATCAGTAAAAACCAAGTTTCAAATAATTCGCAAGGGAAGGCTTCATAAGTAAGGGGGATGGCAAAATGATTCAATTACCTAAATAGATGGCATGAGCAGGTAGCTATTTATGAGATGCGCTGCATGCCAAAACACTACCTTGCCAACAAGCACACGCCACTGGAGACAGAAAAAGATCTAATGCATGCCTGCAAATGTTCCTTGGACCTGGACAGCCAGGACTGCTTTTTGTGCCTCTGCCACTAAATCTTGTTTGTTCTGTAAGGTAAGATCAACCAACAAATTTCTATCTTGCAAAGACATGATGTGCAGCAGTGATGACACTGCTTGCTCAGTAAATCACTTCTGCTTCATTTTGTCCTTGCCCTGCTCTGTGCTGTAGCTTTTGTGAGCTATTGAAATGAACTGCTTACCAAAGCAGTCTGTCTGGTGGGAATCATTTGCAGTGATTTCAGAAATCAGGTAGCAGTAAATTACTGTACAATTACAGCCTTTTGCAACTACAGAGACTGATCAGAAATGAACTGTACCAGCTAATGCAGCTTTCTCATCTATTCAGACTCAAAATGCCCTACATTCTCCTCCCTTCAGGCAGTGACTTCTCTGGTAGATTAACAAATGGCCAATTGCCCAATTGATATTTTACTACCCATAATATGGTCAAAATGTACCCATGAGTAAAATAAAAACTAATACTTTTCCCTTACAAATCTGTTTACAATTGAGGCTGTGGTAAGCTGACACTGGCTGGACACCAGGTGTCCACCAAAGCCACTCTATCACTCCCCTCCTCAACTGGACAGGGGCAAGGAAATACAACAAGAGGCCTGTGGGTCAAGGTAAGGACAGGGACAATTACTGTCACGGGTGAAACAGACTCAACTTGAGGAGATTAGTTTGACTTATTATCAATCAAATCGGAGGATAATGGGAAATAAAAACTAAATCTTAAAACACCTTCCCCCAACCCCTCTCTTCTTTCCAGGCTTAACCTTATTCCCAAATTCTGTACCTCCTCCCCACCAGCAGCACAGGGGGACAGGACAGAGAATGGAGGTTGATGGTCACTCCATCACATGTTGTCTCTGCCACTCCTTCCTCCTCAGGGGAGGACTCCTCAGACTCTTCCCCTGTTCCAGCATGGGCTCCTCTCTCCACAGGGCCACAGGTCCTGCCAGGAGCCTGCTCCATCAGGGCCTTCCCACAGGGTCACAGCCTCCTTTGAGCATCCCCCTGCTCCTGTGTGGGATCTTCCACGGGCTGCAGGTGGGTACCTGCTCTACCATGGACCTCCATGTGCTGCAGGGGGACAGTGTGTCACCATGGGCTGCACCATGGGCTGCAGAGGAATCTCTGCTCCGGTGCCTTGATCACCTCCTGCCCTCCTTCCTCACTGATCTTGGTGTCTGCAGAGCTGCTTCTCCCACATGTTCTCACTCCTCTCTCTGGCTGCAGCTGTGCATGGCTTTTCCCCCCTTCTTAACTGTGTTATCCCAGAGGCATTTTGCTGATGGGCTTGGTCAGTGATGGGTCCATCTTGGAGCGAGCTGGCATTGGCTCTATCAGACATCAGGGAAGCTTCCAGCAGCTTCTCACAGAAGCCTTCCCTGTATCCCCACCGCTACCAGAACATTGCCAAGAAAAACTAACACAGAGGGCCTTAAAATTCATCCCATGCGTGGGTTAGGTGCAGCATTAAGGAGGGAAATTGATGGCTGGGGAGCTAGCTGATGGGAAGACAAAGCAGGTGTTAGTGGCCAAAGCCTATTAGAGCATTCTGTTTCCTCCATCCCACTTACCAGGAGGGACTGAGGCACTTCTTTCTCAAAAGCCTGACAGGGCAGCAGTTCAACTCCAGCTGCCACTGCAGCAGGCTCAGCTCCTTCTCACAGTAAGAAGGACAATGCCTGTTTTTGCTAGAGTGGTTTTCTGTGCAGACCCCTCACTGCACTTGTCTCCTGACACCTCTGGACATCCCAGCCCAGGACCAACACTGCAGAATTCACCAGGGAATGTGACTCCACACTAAAAAAAATAAAAAGTTCAGCACAGAACATAGCAACATTTCCTAAATTATTTTAGCGCTGTGATAATCACAGAGCCAAAATTCTCTGCTCTCATTTGTGTCTTAACAAAATAACTTCAACTAACCAAACACCCCATGAAAATTCTATCTGCAGAGCTAGGCAAAGATGGGAT